TAAAGTAGACACCCTATATATATATTATCCAGCATAAATTAGACACCCTGTATATATACTGTCCAGTATAAAGTAGACACCCTGTATATATATATTGTCCTGTATAAAGTATACACCCTGTATATATATATTGTCCCGTATAAAGTAGACACCCTGTATATATATTGTCCAGTATAAAGTAGACACCCTGTATATATATATTGTCCTGTATAAAGTATACACCCTGTATATATATATTGTCCCGTATAAAGTAGACACCCTGTATATATATATTGTCCTGTATAAAGTATACACCCTGTATATATTTATATTGTCTCGTATAAAGTAGACACCCTGTATTTATATATATATTGTCCAGTATAAAGTATACACCCTGTATATATATTGTCCAGTATAAAGTATACACCCTGTATATATATATTGTCCCGTATAAAGTAGACACCCTGTATATATATTGTCCAGTATAAAGTAGACACCCTGTATATATATTGTCCAGTATAAAGAATACACCCTGTAGTGTATATAATGATTTAAGAACAGTTAGCTCTAAATCTCCCACGACTGGACTAAAATCAGCGAGAAAATCAGGGAAATCTTAAACACAACCCCTCCCCCTCCCCCTCCTTTTCTATACCCTTCCTCCGGCAAATTTCTGCTTCAATCTGAAACATGCAATTCCTTCAATTTTAATACAGAGCCAAATTACTTAAACTTTTATGACCACTCGTTTATTACATAGAAATTTTGCCATATGAGACCCCCCCCCCCTTCCTTCCTTAACACAACAAATTAACAAGAGGGGGGTAAAACAGAGGTGTTTATATCTCAGCAAAAAAAACATTTATCATTAATACCTTAGACGATTAATTTGGTGGAGTTTGTGTTCAGGTTGATCAAGCTTAAATACCTCCTCATCCTTAGATTCTTCTTTCAGTTGTATTCCAGACATTCGCAGCTCGTGTCCCCATTATACAATTTAAAATGTTATTTAAAAATCTGATAAAAATCAAAATGAAGAGCAGGCTAAAATATGTGAAAAAGAAGAGACGGATTTTTCCCAAGTACTTTTTTATTTTATTTTTTGTTTGTATTGTGTTAGCATTTTTTTATATCAATTTTAATGAAGTATTTTTATGAAAAGAAGGAACTAATTTGTAAGCTTAAAGGGACAGTAAAGGAAAAATGAAAGGGGGTATAGGCTGAAAGCTAATCACTTTAGCTCTTGATCGCGACCCATGAAAGTTATATCTGATGTTCCTATCTCGAGAAATTGATATAAAACTGTGTTATAATTATACGAAAATTCATATATGTAAAACTTTGAAAATCTGAAACTTAAATCACGTGACCAGAACTCTCACCAATGGCAGAGCAGTATACTGGTCACGTGTCTCCGCCTGTATCACGTGACCACTTTACTGCACTGCCATTGGTGGAATTTCGGGTCAAGTATTTCGGACGTAAAAATAATATTATGAATGAAATCTATTGAAAATAGAAACAACAAATATAAAAGTAAACCTAAATTACAATTAGCTTTCTCTGGGATATCATCTTTTTCAGATTGGTTTCTGTTTTTCTGAGCATGGTCTGTTTAAACCTACTATTTCTATACGAAATTGTATATATATGCATTTTCGTACAAGTTTGAAACAGCTTTATATCAACTCTCGAGTTAGGAACTTCAGATAGGCGTCTCAAGGGTCTCGATGAAAAGCTAAAGTGATTAGCTTTCAGCCTATACCCCGATTCATTTTTCCTTTACTGTCCCTTTAAATCTGCCTAATGCATTGTATGAGAAGCAATGCTTAGATTCTTTCCACTGCCTTGCTCTGTTCAAACCTCACCCTTACATGACTTAAAGCATTTCAAGCATTTCTTTATTTTTTAATCATTATTTTCAAAGAATGCAAGGATCGTACAAGAATTAAAGTATTTTAGAAGCAACAACCACCTCAAATGTATTATCTTTATAAACTGTGATAAATTGTAATTCAACTTCTAAATACATATAGCGGCAATGATAAGAATGTATGTCAGTCACACTTTAGTGTGTTCTTGATTTTAGCTTCCTTAATGAGCGTCCTAATTAATAGGGTATCCCTTTTGAGTTATTAGTGATATTAGTGCATTTAAATGATTCAATATTAGTGCATCATTGTTTTCTATGAAGAATATTAGAAGTTGAATAAAATACAGTGGTTGGCGTTTATATAAAACGTTTTCAAAGAATTTCGAAAATTTCTTTCATACATATTAGTTCATGTATTATCAAAAAACGTCGATATCGACGGACTAAAAAATGGCATTGAAAATCTGACTTTTAGGGACTAATAAAATCAAATATCATTGTGAAATGAAAATTAACTCTACATAGGACACAAAAAAATGAAAAAGATTGGAAATAAGATGAAAACTAAATGTATTTACCATGTTTTACTTGTTCCTGTCTTGTTCGACCTGTCTTGTATTATGATTAACTCTGAGAGACTTATGATTGGGAATCAGTAGTGCAGGGCCTTAATGGACATGTGTTTAAACCAGTCCGAACTGTTGTATTTGAGAAATAATCAGAACCAAAAATTGTTAATAGACAGAACACAGGGTGTCACAAAGTTAGACGTCGATATCGACGTTTTCGCCCTTAATGAGGGTAATTTTATTAAACTATTGTGTACTTTATCATTTATATTCACTTTCCGGGGAATTTTATTATTGATGCGCTATAAATTAATCATCGTGCTTTAAAGTTAAATTAGCTGTATATTATAGCACCTTTCTATAAAGTAATCATCGTGCTATAAAATTAGCTGTATATTATAGCACCTTGTTATAAAGTAATCATCATGCTACAAAATTAGCTTTATATTAAAGCACCGTGCTATAAAGTAATCATCGTGCTATAAAATTAGCTATATATTAAAGCACCTTGCTATAAAGTAATCATCGTGCTTTAAAATTAGCATGCATATTATAGCACCGTGCTATAAAGTAATCATCGTGCTATAAAATTAGCTGTATATTAAAGCACCGTGCTATAAAGTAATCATCTTGCTATAAAATTAGCTGTATATTAAAGCACCTTGCTATAAAGTAATCATCGTGCTATAAAATTAGCATGTATATTATAGCACCGTGCTATAAAGTAATCATCGTGCTATAAAATTAGCTGTATATTAAAGCACCGTACTATAAAGTAATCATCGTGCTATAAAATTAGCATGTATGCACCTTGCTATAAAGTAATCATCGTGCTGTAAAATTAGCATGTATATTGTAGCACCGTGCTATAAAGTAATCATCGTGCTATAAAATTAGTTGAATATTAAAGCACCGTGCTATAAAGTTTCGATTGGATCCCGGATGTAAAAAAAGTAGGATATTTCTAGAATATTTTTTTCAATTTAAATGAAAATAAAGATTGAATCAACTTTAAATTAATATCTCTGCTTATTATTTCTAAAAATAACATTTCCTAGATTATTTATTTCTTCAGAATCCACACTGGGTCTCTTTAATCTATACAAAGGTTTGTTAAAATCGTAGAAATCCGACTTCTTTAAAAAAAAATCGGTTTATTGGTAATTAGAAAAGAAGAACGTGGCTCCCCACGTTCTACGGATCTACGTCTTATTATGATGATTAATATACATTCAAATTAAACAAAAAATATAATCTTTACAGGAAAATTGGTTGATAGAGAATGACAAGTAAATATTGTATGTTTGAATAAAATAAATTCTCTCAATATTGATTCAAACAACCCATACAGAATATGTATTGTTAAAGGGACTGTATACTTTATTTCAAGTGATCCTCCATGCTACCAGGAGATAGGGGTGTACGAGATTTTAGTGGGGGCACCTTTTGCGCACCCTCTAGAAGATTTTGTGCCCCCCCCCCCTAAAAACCCCTATTTTGACAAAAGTGCTAATTAGTTTCTTATCTATATTAAAGAACCGTAAATCTTTCATACTTTGCTTGGTTTAGAACATATATTTATTGATTATATATCAGAGGAGCAAAGAAAATGATTTTTTCAAAAACTCCAAAAAACTCAAACCCGATGTCGTAGATCTTTGAAATTTCAAATTGTGAATTCTATGAACTATAAAAAAGCCTAAGTTTGAAATAACGTTAACACCATCAGATTTCAAAGAAATAGGAAATAGAAAATTTGAGTTTGTGGCAAAAACTAAATTCCTTTCTTGAAAAATCTTTCTCCCCTTTCAAAATATATTTTTCCACCCCAAAAATTAGATATGTTTGCGCGTAGCAGCAAAATTGTGTAGGGTTTTATTTGCCGAATATTTGATGTAATTTTTCCTTTAAGTTAAGTTTAGTTTGTTTGCGTGGAATATCAAAACAATTTGAAAGGTTTTAATTGGTGAATTTCTGGGTAAACAGAATTGAAAAGGATGAAAAACTTGCCTTTTGATATTCAATTTTTCTTTTCTTTTTAGATTAGCAGAAATATTTTTTTCGCAGAAGTTATGTTTGTTTGCGCGAAGCGCCATACAAATGTTCATGGTTTTACTTTCCGAATTTTCGTTTTAAAATATTAAAAAGTAATGAATTAAGTTGCCTTTTAATATAATTTTTTTTTTCATTTTCTCCCTACTTCATATAGATTCATTTTATATTTGAGGCCCCCCCAATGAGTTCCCCCTCGTACGCCAGACGAATGAAAATGTACAACGGTTCCCTTTAAACCTTTAACTGAACATCCAGGGCAGAGAGTTTGATGTGTCTCTATCTCTAACATGGTGTTCTAAATTCCGAATAATTGGAATGTACGCTAGCGTACAGTGTGAGATCAATGCAGCTGACATTATATTTATTATAGTTATTGCTCTCAACAGACCTAATTAAAGGTTAATGATTTTTCAATTTAAATTGAAAATAAAATTAGAAAACTTATTTGTCGGAAATAATGTTTCATCATATCTTTGTTTTAGGTCAATTTTTCATTATTCACAATAATAATTAGTTTTTTTTAGATCCTTGGATCCTCGAATATCAGACTCCGATTCACATTATTTCAGCCTCGTTCAGCCTCCTCGATCACTTCTACTACAGTCACGTGATCCTCAACATCAGCCCCGTAGTCTTGTCCAAAAGCACATCTTTGATGGAGGTCAGGTCCAACCTATAGTTCAGGGCCCGCCTGGAGACCAGGGTCCACCTGGAGGTCAAAACTGGCCTCGGTTAACAGATGAAAAGAATCCCGAGGATCCTGTATATTCAACAATAGGTTAGAATTACATTCAGAGGCGTATTCAAGGGGGACTATGGGGATCAGACCCTCCTGGAGCAGTGAAGTCTATGGTTTTTAGGTTTTTTTTTGGGATCCAATGGGTTCTGAGCCCCTCACCTTCCTCTAGAACGAAAAAATAATTTAAGCACCCACTGGACGAATTCCTGAATGCACCCCTGTCTACACCAGTATTTTTTTTGCTCACAGCCACTTTTTCTTTAAAAACTACATACTGACGATTTTTTGAAATATTGGTTAATAAAACTTTAATTTTTTTAGATGAAAGTGAAAGCGTTGAATCTTTAGCTCTTTGGAGTCAAACAATCTTAGGAATCCTAATTTTTTTCAATATTCAATTTTTTTTCTACCTAATTTTTTCTTCTTTTCTTCTAAAAAATATCTTGTTTTATGCATGAATAACTTTCCTAAAATATTGAGATTTTTCAATTTTTTATGTTAAAAGATCTAAAATGAATTCATCCTTAACGTAATATTATTATTGTTAAAATATCTACTCAACTATAGGATTTTATAAGAGTATCTTCTTACTCTCTATTTTTCTTTTTATCTTTTTCTTTTTTGTTTGATGATAGAGCCTTGTAGGATTAGAAATAATAGGATTATTGTCAGTAGATTCTCAGAAAGAAGATTGCCGGAAAGAAGATTTGCAAAATAAAGGTGCAGTGCCAAAAATAATGCGAATTTCGGAAAATTTTACGGAAAAATGTATCTTAAAATTCATTATCAAAAAACTAAAAAATCTATCTTCATACAGGGTTACCCACAAAGAACGAGACGTTAAAGACGACTGTAATAATATTTCCTTATATATAGAATTCTCTGCAACTGTAACCTGTTTTTTGCCATGTCAATAAAAAGACAATGTTAAAGGCAGAAGACTTAATTTAACCTTGTGATCGGCATTTTTTATGAGTTTACAGTCTCATTCTTTGTGGTTAACCCTGTACTGTATTTGATGTGTGGGACCTCACATGTCCCTTGGGAAGGTTTATGGACTATCAAAATTGAAAATAAAAATTCTTGGAAAATGCGCCAATTTTAATTGAAAAATTGAAAAATTTAAGAATGATTAAAAATGGCCGACTGTCAGAGCGACAGTAAAAAGCTGAAAGATAGTGGTGTCGAAGCGCCCTCAAAGTCACTTAAGCGAGATACAAGCAATAAAAACTACTAAAAAATTCTGAGACAACTAAACTAAAAGATAGAGAGAACAAAAAGCTTCTGTATTAAAAATGTTTTTAAGTGCTTTCCATTTAAATGCTTTAGATTTAATCATAATTGAACTAAATTATTTTTCATTAAATAGATAAATTGTCTGTTTTAGAAGTGGGACGAGATTCATCTTTCGGCGTTTCTTCTCTTCAGGAACCATTTATAATTTTTATATTTTCCAAATGGTGAAACTGTTTTATCAGAGATTTCAAGTACGTCACAGTTTCACTCTTATTTATCCTTTTTTTGCGCCCTACAACAAGTCCCGACAAAAACAAAAACAAAAACAAAAAATCTAAAAATAAAAATGAGCAAAGCAAAATTCTCTGAATTTAAAACTGATTTTATAATACATTGGTTTTCAAAGGATGATGAAACCTATGGGTTTGCTCCTGTTCAAACGAATTCTCCGGCCTTAAAAACCTCACCGTCTCTTAAAGTTTCTCCGGGTCCCAAAATTACTCCATCTCCAACTTTCCCAGATTTTCATTCCCATCTTCAGCCTCGCTCTGCCGGTCATTTTCAGTCCCTGCCCTACCTTCTCAACCAGGTCAGTTCAAAAAAAATATTTTGAACTAGTTATGGAGGGGTTTTAATAAGTAAAACGTTGTTCAAAAGTTCAATCCAGCCATGCAAATCTACTTAGTATAGTAATAAACCAAATTCTCTTCTGAAAATTTAGTCCCAACTTTTCCTAAATCTCAAGGACAGTCTTTTTCCACCGAATTTATAAATCAAGGTCTCAGGTAGGATAATATTAACCCTGTATAGGATGGAGGATAATATTAACCCTGTATAGGATGGAGGATGATATTAACCCTGTATAGGATGGAGTATAATATTAACCCTGTATAGGATGGAGGATAATATTAACCCTGTATAGGATGGAGAATAATATTAACCCTGTATAGGATGGAGGATAATATTAACCCTGTATAGGATGGAGGATAATATTAACCCTGCATAGGATGGAGTATAATATTAACTCTGTATAGGATGGAGTGTAATATTAACCCTGTATAGGATGGAGTATAATATTAACTCTGTATAGGATGGAGGATAATATTAACCCTGTATGGGATGGAGGATAATATTAACCCTGTATAGGATGGAGGATAATATTAACCCTGTATAGGATGGAGGATAATATTAACTCTGTATAGGATGGAGGGGAGGAGAATGAGGAACTAGTAGAGTATGCTCTCAAATACCAAGCATACAGGCATACAAGCAGGAGAACCAGACCATCTGCTCTTAATCTACAAGAAAGTCACAGTGTACAGGGTGTTCATGGTGTACAGGGTGTACAGCCTGATGTTTGGAACAGAAGAGAAAACAATTTTGACAGGGTGGATGGAAATAATACAGGTCGGTGAAAAGTAAGAAAAAATATGTATAAAAACTTATTTTTCAATTTCTGTACAATACGCCATGTTGGACAATAAGTAACTCAACACATATATATTGCAATGTTAATGTAATACAAAAATATATTGCAATGTTAATGTAATACAAAAAATATAATTGCAATGTTAATGTAATACAAAAAATATATTTCAATGTTAATTTAATACAAAAAATATATTGCAATCTTAATGTAATACAAAAAATATATTGCAATGTTAATGTAATACAAAAAATATATTGCAATGTTCATGTAATACCAAAAATATATTTTAATGTAATACAAAAAATATATTGCAACGTTAATGTAATACAAAAAATATAATTGCAATGTTAATGTAATACAAAAAATATATTTCAATGTTAATTTTATACAAAAAATATATTGCAATGTTAATGTAATACAAAAAATATATTGCAATGTTAATGTAATACAAAAATATATTTTAATATAGTACAAAAAATATATTGCAATGTTAATGTAATACAAAAAATATATTGCAATGTTCATGTAATACAAAAAATATATTTTAATGTAATACAAAAAATATATTGCAATGTTAATATAATACAAAAAATATATTGCAATGTTAATGTAATACAAAAAATATATTTCAATGTTAATGTAATACAAAAAAATTATATTACTATTATTCATCATTCAACATAAACTAAACAGTCACTGAAATGTTCAAAAGAAATATTATATAAAGATCTAGGGAAAAAGTGATGTTATTTCAAAATTTAAAATATTTGCTCTGAAGATTTCCACAGAATCCTACCTTGAGGTTTACATTATCCCAATTCTCAATATCTGAATATTTAAATTTTATAAAAGTATTATTACAGATGGTGGTTCCGGCAGAGACTCTGTTGTATCCTATAGTTCTACGGATACTTTACGCTATCCGGAACCTGGATCAACGGATACACTTCGCTACCCTGATCCCGGATCAATGGATACATTACGTTATCCGGTTCCCGGATCAAATGATACCCAGCGATATCGTGAACCAAGTCATTCTCCACTTAGCCCTTACAGGTAAATATTAATTTTTCAACAAAAAATGTATTCCAATACTTTTAAAAGAGACTGTTATGTATTTTCAATTGATACTTCATGCGAAAATGGCAATACTCGATTTACAATGGTACACAAACGACACAACGATCGATAAGTTTCGAATTCTGGATAAAACGACGTAAAAAAAATTTTAACTTCTGATTCCTTGCAACTATTATACGTAAAAAAATTTATGACTATGGAAGAATTAATATTTAACTTTAGAAAAGTTAATTAATACAAAATGACAAAACCATTGCTGATCATCAAAAATAATTTTATAACCGTTTATTTCTATAGAAATTTATGATGTTTTCGAAGGTTGATTATACTTTTTAAAACTTTATGTAATAGTACATTTATTTTTTAGTATTTACTGAAAAGTTAATTTAAAAAAAAATGACAAAGCCATTGCTGATCATCAAAATTAATTATTTAACCGTTTATTTCTATAGAAATTTATGATGTTTTTAAAGGTATGATTATACTTTTTAAAACTTTATGTAAAAGTACATTTTTCATTTACTGATGCTCTTTTAAACATTTCAAGATTAGTTCTTGTACTTTTGAGAGTTTTGTAAAATTAGAATATTTTCATTTCCAACCATTTTTTAAAATTACTAGCTATGGTTATATGGATTTTAAAGCTGAAATATCTTGTTTCTTTTGTTTTAAATATATTTGGCGAAATTCTGACAGATTTGTAAGTCAGAATGTGAAATATTTTAGAAGACAATTAATTTTCATCGAGCATGGAAAACTTCAGGCCGTGTATTTTCTTTGTGATTTAATGTCGAAATTATCTTCAATTTTTTAAATCTGAGTCTTTGGGCCTTTTTTTACCGGTTGGTGGTTCAGAAATAGGAGACATAAAGAAGGATTGTGAAGAAGAAGAAGAAGGAGAAGGAGGAGGAGAAGAATATTATTAATTGATTTCAGAATGAAGAGCAACCCCTCCAGTCCTATCTTTAGCCAATACAGTAACAGTAGCAACCACAGCAACCACAGCAGAAGCAACAGCTCGCAAAGTAACAGCAGCCAAAGATGTTCACCACAACAACCAAACACACCTAGTATCCTACAACATAAACCAACAGCCTCACAACATCACCAAAGATCAAGCTCCCAGAACTCAACAACTTCACACAGACAACAACAACAACAACAACAACAGGGTCGTCAACATCAACAATTATACCAGCAACAAAAGCCAACTCACCAACAACAATCTAGTCGTAGGCAGAGCTCAAACAAACAACAACAACAGTCAAGTTTACAGCACTCAGTTTCATCGCAGAGTTTAAATATCGGTTTAGCAAGACCGATATCAGGTATCGAAATCGAGATTCTGGCATACTATTATTCATACAATACAGGGCATTTAACTATGAAATTTTATCGACTTCACTCGTTCAATAAAATTTGTTTAGACAAATTACTTCAATTATTCCACTGTTCCATGGTTGCCACCGTAAAATTTTCTAATATTTAACATTTTAGATTATTTTTAGTAAAACCTTAACCTTTCAATTTAAAAACAGTTTAATGTAAGTTTTCATTTTCGGAAAAAATGGGTTTTCAAAATATGCAAGTATTTGCATTTGTTTTGAAAATGTAAAAAAATGCAAATGCAAAATTTTTATTTAGTTAATATTTATTTTTATTTTAGGTGCCGTACCAGCCCTTCATACAGCTAACCAAAGGTATCATTTATAAAACATAAATCAATAATGATGATAAAAAATTATTTTATTACAAAAATCAAAATAACAAAAAATTTAATTTTCTTATTAATAAAAACAACGATAAAATATTGAAAATGATAGAAATTGAACCTTTTTTTAAGATACATAATTTTTAAAATCCAGTTTTGGTTTATAATATGAATTTAGATACTGGAGTAAGGATACTTTCCACCCTGAGATTGAACCGTCTCCTAGTCCGTCCTCAAACCAGCTCCGGGACCAGAGTAAACACAGAATGGACGAGAGAAAACAGATTATGTATGAGCAAGGTGGAAGAGGGAAGGGAAGGTTGGGTCGGGAGGATAATGAGGGAAGGGATGGAAGGATGATGAAAGAAAAGGGAAGGTTGGGTCGGGATGATTTCTCCTTCTCCAAATCCGTCCCGAACCTTCTGACTCAAGCAAAACAAGGAGCATAAACTTTAATTTTTTTACTAAATTAAATCTAAACAAAATTCCAGTTTTTTCACTACAGTTAAACCCTAAAAAAGCCCTACACAGAAAGAATTTATCAAATGTCGTATTCTTCACTTTCTGATAATGGAATGTTGCAGATATTTAGTTTTTTAATTAAATGATTATATGGAGCTCTTTAAAACTGTTCCCGCATATTCATGGCTATTTATTTATTTTTGCAAATACTTAGATTTACCTAAAATAGTAAAAAATCCATTGAAAATTTCTCAATACGACATTTGATAAATTCTTTCGATGTATGGGTCATTCAGGGTTCAATTGTATCTAAATCCTAAATTTCATGCGATACTAACTATAACAATTATTATAAGCCTAGGACCAGATTTAATGAAAGCAAGACATAGTTGAACTGTGTAGACTTAGTCAAACCACTTCTCTTGAGCTTGACCCGGTCAATACGGTCTACGTACTACGTAGTTCATCTACTTTTCACTATTCACTGCTTTTGAATCTTTGATTTATAAAACCTTCAAAAATTAAATGAAGAGCCTTATATATGATACTTATTTTTTTTTACTAAACAACAAAATATGAAACTAAAATTTTAGATATTGTATATATCAAGTTCACTCATTGTACATTACAGCTATTCAACTCAAAATTTCCGTCCTCATTGATTTTCAATTTTATCTCTTATATGGTTGCAAACAGAGAATTTCCAATTTTACATTATTAAGATTTATTTTCAAACACAAATATAAATTAACATAATATTGTGTAGATCCTTAAAAAATAAATTTTTTTAATAAGCTAAGTCTGATCAAAGAATTTTACCTATTCATCATCTAATTTCATAAACATACTTATGCTGTAATCTAGTCAGCTTTTTATTGCTAAAACATTTTCAGTAATATATATATTAATAAAATCTAAATAAATAGACGTGTTTACTTAAAGTTAAATTAAATACCAAATTAAAGTTTAATACTAATTTAAAGTTTAACTTTTAGAAACAGAAAATATAGTTACATCTGAGAAAATAGGAGACATAAAGAAGGATTGTGAAGAAGAAGAAGAAGGAGAAGGAGGAGGAGAAGAAGAAGGAGAAGAAGAAGAAGAACTAGCAACTAACGGACCTCATGATAATGAGATATCAAGAGAAAAGAACAGGTATTTTATTTGGATTATTGTTGTATTCTATCTATCTATCTAACTATCTATCTCTATATATATCTGTCTATCTATCTATCTGACTATCTAACTGTTTATCAATCTATCTATCTATCCTTCTATCTATCTAAGGTACCTGGACCCTGCTAAGAAATTAATGGTATCAGATAACACAATTAAACGGATACAGAAGCAAGCAGTTATAGATTACTATAATAGGTAATTTATTAATGAATTAATTGATTAATCATTTAATTGATCTGTTATTTAATAATTAACCAATTAAATCAATTCATTTGCCATAATTGTTGTCATTTGTTGAATGCTGAGGAGCCAAAAGTTTTGAAGAAATTTTCTTTTTCAAAAAGAAACTGATTTACAGAATGCAATTACAGACATATAATTTGCAGTAGACCGAAAATAGGTGCCAGACAACTAATTTAAAGAAAGAATTGTATTATTGTTCAGAAAAATTACGTGCATGAGAATTATTTTTCAGAAAAATAACGTGCATGAGAATTATTGTGCAGAAAAATAACGCGTATGAGAATTATTGTTCAGAAAAATAACGTGTAGGAGAATTATTGTGCAGCAAAATAACGTGAAGGAGAATTATTGTGCAGAAAAATAACGCGTAGGAGAATTATTGTGCAGAAAAATAACGCGTATGAGAATTATTGTTAAAAAAATAACGTGTAGGAGAATTATTGTTTAGAAAAACAACGTGTAGGAGAATCATTGTTCAGAATAAAAAACGTGTAGGAGAATTAATGTGCAGAAAAATAACGTGCAGGAGAATTATTGTACATAATACAGCATGCTGTAAAAGACAACAAATATGCCTGGGACACATGATATGTAATACAACGGTATATATACAGTTCCCTTGATGTGAAGAACCTTATATTCTAAGTTTGTATCGATGCAAAAATCCTCATATTTCATTTCATTAATTCTTAGAATTTCTTTCTTCGGCTCTAATAACATATTTGAATTCGACACAGGATAATTATTCATCAATATGTAACATGAGGTCTGGTTTAATCAAGAGAGAGAATTAGTTTAAATACAGGGTGTCCCACATTATCAAGGAGGGTGCAAAGCTTTATAAATTGGGTTATTCGGAATTCAACAAAAATTTTAGATTAAAACCACTGGACAAAATTGGTAATGGTATATTTAACAATTTGTTCGCAGAAAATACAAGGTTTTATTTGTTCTTTGCGTATTTGATGTAAACGCTTGGAGATAATCCAATATGATGTGGCACGCTCAGTACTGTGTTTAGGTACGAACAATTGAACTATGTCTCTAGGGTAGAAGTACTTGAACTACTTCTCTAGCAGAAGAAGTAGTTCAACTACGTCTCTAGCAGGAGAGTAGTTCAACTATGTCTCTACTCTCTAGTGGTATAAGTAGTTGAACCACGTCTCTAGTGGGATAAGTAGTTCAACTTGCTCCACTTAGTTTATCTACTTTTCGCAATTCATTAAATCCGACCTTTGATTAGGTTAAGGAAAGGAGAAGAATCAGTGGAAGAGAGAAGAAAGGAAACCAAAAATACAGAAGAAGATGGAAAACGAAATGAAACAAGGAGAAGATACAAGGATGGATCAGAAAAGAAGGTTAAATCAGGATCAGAGAAGGATGAATTCCCGTCTCCTGGCACACCAAGAGATGCTGGGATCAACTCTAGAAATTATCATGAAGAAAATAATCCAAGGCTCAATTTTCTTAGATCACTTAGTCAGGTAAAAAAAAAAGTCACCTGAGCTGAAAACTTTAGTTTGTTTCCCGAAATGTGAAAAAAAATTCAACCAATAAGAGGTTTCAAGTGGTGTATCAGAAGCCGGGAAATTTGAAATTTTGCTCGCCATTTAATAAGAGCACTGTCATTGGTCTGAATCCAGTAGGAATATCCAAAAAGAGAGAAAAAGAGCGGATTAAGCAGAAATCAAATGTGTCCACAGTGATATTAAGATTAAGCGATCGGTATTAAAGGGAGTGACCGGCAATTTATGGTGGTTGAACTGAATATGTAGTATTGTGGACAAATTTTTAGGATTCATTTGAGACATATACAACGTTTCAAAATCATGAATTTGGGTGGCCGGTTACGTTTTCAGAATCGTTTTTTTTTAAATTATTAAATAACAACGACAAAAAATGTTAACACAATTCTACAGTAAACTAATTAGTTGTTAAGGAACAGTTGAGAAAATAAAAATTAACTCTTATCATCGAAATAAGTAATCTTATTCAATTATAAGTTTCTATAATCTCTCATTATTCACAAAGATTTTCTGGATTTGTTATTGAAAAGACGTCGTTTGAAGAATTTGTGAAATCTGCGAACAATTTCATAGAAAACAAGAAATTCAATATAATGATGAAAACAATTGATTCTTACATTGATTTATTGACAAATTTCTTTTGAGAAATTTTTCCACAATATTGCATACTCAGTTCAACCACCATACATTGCCGGTCACTCCCTTAAAGGGCATTTATTCAATTCGAAAGTTTTCAGCACTTCTTCATCTAAAATAAGAAATATGGATCAAGATATTTTGGAACTTTTGATATATTTTGTATTTTACTAAACGAAAACATTTTAGAAATTATTGGATCCCAATATTGTAACAAAGTTACGTAATTATCCTTGAACACAACTAATATTGATATTTTGTCTTGAATATTAGAAATAATTTATAGCTACAGTCTGTTACAGTCATAATTTATTCACTATTTGTTTTATTAATCCAATGACCGAAAAGGTTGTCCAAAAAACATGGAATAAAAGGGTTCAAAGACTGCTGCTTTCTGAAGCTAGGGTGTCGATCAGGAAATCGGAGAAAGTTTTTTTTGTCTGCCAACGGTTTAAAGTTAAATCAGAGACTGTAAGGTTTAAGGAATTGATAATGTCTACAACAGGATTTTCATCGAGCATGGAAAACTTCAGGCCGTGTATTTTCTTTGTGATTTAATGTCGAAATTATCTTCAATTTTTTAAATCTGAGTCTTTGGGCCTTTTTTTACCGGTTGGTGGTTCAGTCATGCAGCCCCCCCCCCCCCTCCCCTTTACTAGTAATCTAATAATCTTAGAATGATTGATATGATATATTAAATATTTCTGAGAAGTGTCAATAAACCAGTTTTCCTTAAATCTTCTGTTCAGGGCGAGGATAACAATGGTTCAAGATTAACCTCTAATCCAAACATCTCCCCTGGACCAACCTCGTCGAATATTACCGTCTCCAACTCACCGGGGATGACCGGCTCCAGCTCTGGCTCACCTAGGATGACCGGCTCCAGCTCCAGCTCACATAGGATGACTGGCTCCAGCTCTGGCTCACCTAGGATGACCGGCTCCAGCTCCAGCTCACCTAAGATGACTGGCTCCAGCTCCCCGAGATTGTTGACCCCTGAGCCTCCACCTCCTCCTCCCTTAGACAATCTAGAGGAGCTGGAAATGGTTTGTAATGATCCCCTTCCTCCTCCTCCTCCTCATTCACTTCAATACAGGTGAGAAGGAAGGAACAGAGTAGAGGTCTCCATATTTCAAGATTAAGTCTCAAGATTAAGCACCATTGAGACTAAATAAGACCTAAGCTAGAAATATGTTGGGAGATCGACTATATGGAAACTCATGACTTCCTATTTCCTATATCTTTGAATCCTAATGGTGTAAGATTTGATATTTCAAGCTTAGACTTCAGAGTTTGAAATATCAAAGGTCTATAACATTAGGTTGTAAGGATATAGGGGATAGAAAATCTGAGTTTTTGACAACAACACAGAAGCCTAGTTTTCTCATAGTTGAGTCTAACTCTAAACCAGTAAATCACAACGATATAACACTCACAATGTCGGGTCTAACTTTAAACGTTAAAGTTCTCAACGAAGGGATTCAGACTCCATGTCCTGCATATAGAAATAGAATAATTGACACTTTATCATTGGAATAAAGATATTTAAATTAATTAGATATGGAATCAGATATTAAGTTAAAAAATTCTAGTAAGAGGAGTGAAACAAAATGAGAAGGATATATTTTAAAGGTTAGATCAGAAAAATTCTCGTTTTAAATAAATTGTCATTTCTTTTAGTTTAAGTCTAAGAGCTGACTCCTCCAGTAGCGGAATAGGAACAGGATGGAACGGTATCCAGGGAGAAAAACAAGATAAAAGAAGGATTGAGGAAGGATGGAAAGGAGAGGACGGATGGGAGAGAAGAAGACCAAACTCTCCGGCTAGAATAGCTGCTAAAGCTGCGGCAGGTTGGGAAAGGTTTCTAGGCCCATCAACATCAGCTCCGGATCCCTTTAATATACAAGAGAGATCAGCTCCGGGTTCCTCTTGTATACAGGGGAAATCCCCTTCTCAGGGTGCATCTACGGTACAGGAGCGATCTGCTGCTTTTAATTCAAATCATGGAGTTCAGTTTAGAAGAAATAAGGTAGAGAAAATGCACAAAAAAATTAATTGAGTATTTTTTTTCTGCGTTTGTACACGCAATCTTAAATAATTACAATTTGATGAGAGAAAATAAATAACTTCTCAGTTTTAAAAAGGTTTTTGAAAACTTTTACATTTCTTTGACAGGATTTAATTAAATATTAAAAATACTTTCCCTCAGTTTAGTTTAGGTAACTGAATATTTTAAAAAGATAAAAAATCTTTTAAACATGTTTCAGTTAGAATTATTCTTTTCCAACTGCAGCTTCATTGGGAAAATTTATATAAATTTTCTTGAAAACATTTTCTAGAATTTTTATTGAAAATCATATTTTCCCCATTTTATTATTATTTTATTGTAGTTTTTGGACTAGAGGTACTTTGCAACCTGATGGTGCAAATCTTTGTTTTTTTAAAGAAACCGAGTCTTTGGCACAAACTTTGATTTTAAAATCTCTATATCTTACAGAAATGGGTCTTTTTACAAATTACCATGTTTTTTGTTTTAGAGTCGTCTTCCTATTCCACAGGTTTAGGGTTTATACTGTAGAAAATGTAAATATGGATTCAATTTATAATTTGAAGTTTAATTCTATTTTTTTTAAATAAAACAAATACTTGGTTGTTTGTGGGATAAGAAATAAATCTATATAATTTAATTCTTTCCAAAACATTTGATATTCAACCGGAGATTACAAAGATAAAATGTATTTTGATTTATCCATGTAAATAACAATGTCAAAATTTATTTGTTTTAGAAGTTGTTGAATGCGTGTAGCGAGGATTCTGGAGCTAAAAGTTTATCCTATGTTCTGGATTCCTTGAACCTAAACCCTCTCCAGGCTAGATCTCCAGCACTGCACAGAAGTTCTCCAAACCTCAATAGAAACTCATTGATCCTCCAATCCTCTCCGACTCAACCAACAGAGGAGGTTTGTTCTCCGTCAAGAAGAAGATCGTCCTCTAGACAATCTTCTCCACGAAGATCCTCTTCCTACCGGAGGTCTGGAGGTTGTAGAGAGATCAGAGAATCTCCAGGCTCAGAGGAATCTTCCTCGCACCTCTGGTGGAACAATAATCTGGAGAAGTGAGATTTTGTTTTATTATTTTTTAGAATATGACAAAAAAAAAAAAAAAACTATATCTTACTAAGGCAAATTGGACCCTTCAGGAGAAAATCGTTTCGTTTTTCTTTATTCAAATACGCGAACTTTGATGGTTTTCAATTTTCTATTTTCCTCTTTAATCTTTCAAGGATGCACAAATCAGAAATAGTGTATACCTTACTAGCTTGGGAACTCATAGTTACTCCTGCCGTTTACCCGCACTTGAACGATATTACCGAGAAACTAAATTTTCACCATTAAGGTCGACTAACTCAAATTAGAATCTTAACACCAAGCTGAGAACATTCCCGTGGGTCTTCCGATTTCCCCAATCAAAATTTGAGGCAAATAGGTCCAGGGGTTCCTGAATTATGATCAGACAAACAAACAAACAAATAGACAAACAAAGATTACAACTTTATATATATATAGATGACTGTTTGATCAAAACTAATATGGAATTAGGAAATCTAAAAAGAACATTGAATGATTCGGCCAGGAGTCGGAGGAAAATAAGGATAAACCTAACATTCTCTTACAAATTAAGGCTGTAGATACAAGCCACGGTAGTTGGGGCTTCACGGCTTCAGCTACTTCCACTCGGGCATAACAGTATCATTGCACATGTCATGCTAACTCTGTGACCTACGTACTCCTAAGTGAGGCAGAGGGTTGCCGGGAGGGGTGGTTTTCTGGTAACATTCGTGTTATTGTGATGTCATAATAGTCTGTAACCTGTAACTTGTAACCTGTAACCTGATAGCTTATCATGACAAAAATTCGAATATTATTTTTAGGGTTAACGAGCAGTGCCGGGGGAGAGCTTACAGTAATAACAGTGCTGACACAGCAGCTGACAACGGACTAAAGAGCTTACACGATCACAGCAGTAGTGACAGCGGTCTCAGCTCCCTTAGCGGCGGATCATCATACTTACCTAGTACAGGGACCTCATACTTAACCTCAATTGGAGGTCGAACCTCCAGTAGAACCTCCAGTAGGTCATCCTGTTTATCCCCACTCTCCATCCTCTCATTCGGTTCATCCTCCGGCTCCAGTAGGGCCAGCCTCAGGTATGTAGAGGTTAATTTTTCAGTGAGAGTACCGAACCGACTACTAGGCTAGAGCAAGTTTTACAGTATTAGTATACATGAAGACTATAAAAATAAATTGGAAAAGTACACTTATATTTACATCATTCAGTTCTACAAGAGATAACTAGCCATCTGATGATGTTGTCGTAATGCAACGAAATATATGTTGGCCAAAATGACTTAGTGGTTTAAACACCTAGGGTGATAGTTAGGTTGCAGAGAGTTTAAACATGAAATCATTGGATTAATCATTACTTGGCATTCTATAGCTGGAAAAATTAAATTTGTAAAACTCGTCTTCAATTTTTGCGGAACAGTTCAAACTGCAAGATTAAGTAAAAATAATTAAACTGTTTAGATCTGGTTCTATAGTCAGCTCCACAACTATACCTTTAGAGGAGGAGGAAGAGGAGGAGTCGAGCTTTCAATTTCAGGAGGTTAGTCCTTGTCACACTCTTGTCATTTTCTTATAGTCCTTGTCATATTCTTGTCATTTTCTTATAGTCCTTGTCATATTCTTGTCATTTTCTTATAGTCCTTGTCATAGTTTTGTCATTTTCTTCTAGTCCTTGTCATATTCTTTTAATTTTTATAGTCCGTGTCATACTCTTGTCATTTTCTTATAGTCCTTGTCATATTCTTGTCATTTTCTTATAGTCCTTGTCATAGTTTTGTCATTTTCTTCTAGTCCTTGTCATATTCTTTTAATTTTTATAGTCCGTGTCATACTCTTGTCATATTTGTAAAGTCCTTGTCATATTCTCTTAATTTTTTTAGTCCTTGTCATAATCTTGTCACATTCGAATAGTCCTTGTCATAATCTTGTCATTTTCTTATAGTCCTTGTCATAATCTTGTCACATTCGAATACTCCTTGTCATATTCTCTTAATTTTTATAATCCTTGTCATAATCTTGTCACATTCGAATAGTCCTTGTCATAATTTTTTCACATTCGAATAGTCCTTGTCATAATCTTGTCATTTTCTTATAGTCCTTATCATAATCTTGTCTTTTTCTTAAAGTCCTTGTCATATTCTTGTCATATTCGTATAGTCCTTGTCATAATCTTGTCATTTTCTTATAGTCCTTATCATAATCTTGTCTTTTTCTTAAAGTCCTTGTCATATTCTTGTCATATTCGTATAGTCCTTGTCATATTCTTGTCATATTCGTATAGTCCTTGTCATAATCTTGTCATTTTCTTATAGTCCTTATCATAATCTTGTCTTTTTCTTAAAGTCCTTGTCATATTCTTGTCATTTTCGTATCGTCCTTGTCATTATCTTGTCATTTTCTTATAGTCCTTGTCATATTTTTGTCATTTTCGTAGTCCTTGTCATTATCTTGTCATTTTCTTAAAGTGCTTGTTATAATTAATAATTTTCTTCTTATATTAATATATGCTTATTGTCTTTGTCCTATTCTTGTAGTTCTTTAGTCTTTCTAAATTTGTTTTGTCCCTCAGTTTTTTTTGTCTTATTCGTTTTCTTATTCCTTTTCTTCTTTGTCATTTTCCCTCTTGACTTACTCCTGAATGATATTGAATTTCTTCTTCATTATATTAATCATTGCCCTATAATACCTCTCATTTTTCCTATTTTTCTTTTCTTTATTTTTACTTTACCAAGACTGAATGTTGATTATTTCTAATTACGATCAACTAGTCTTGATAATGCTATATATATAACTATAATATAATGCAATAGCGCGGGAACCCAGCTTTTCCTGGAAACTCATCTTTCCCCATAAAAGTTAACCCACTATATTAAAATTTTTATCTTCTCAAAATCAGTTTTCTTAATAGAATTGCTTTTATCGTTTAAAAATGTCAATAATAACAATCTTTATGAAATATGAATTCAGCGTTTTAAAACTATTTTTTTTTAAAGTGATCATTGTTAATATACATTAAGAAATCAATTTTATTTCCATATATTGCAAAGTGTGGAAAGATTAGGGTTGACAATTAAAAATTAAAAATTTTAAAAATTAAAACAAAGATATCTGATTTAAACTTGTTCAGACAAAGCTTTTAAGGGTACCGTTGTTAATCGGATACTGTCGTCTTCACTCGAAATTTTGGTTATTTTGTCTCCTTTATCGTCACAAATATTTTTTTTCGTAGCTAAATCGACTTTTGTCGTTTTGAAATCTATTTTTTCGCCCTTAAAAACGTTGAACGATTAGGGCTGACCTCCTAATATTATTCCAGGTACTGTATGAAGACGATATTGAGAGTATTGAGATGTCTACAGCTCTGCTTCAAGTTTGCAAACCTAGTCCACAAATATCTCAAGCTCTTGGTAAATTGTTTTATCATTTAAGCAGTGAGAACTAGTAAACTGTGGAATAGGAAGACGACTTTCAGACTCAAGTTATTACTTTTGATAGTCAGTTGAACAAGGAACACATTTCAGGCACTATTCTACAGTTTTATGATTTTCACTTTATTTATTAGAAATAACACATCATCTTGTTCCTCTTGGCCATTTGTCGCAATTTTGACGATTAAGAATCATATTTTTTAATGATAAAACTCTACAGGGACTCTTTTAAATCATTAATGCCACTCGTTTATTGGAGGTTCATGTTAAATTACGTAAAATTTAAGTTAAATATTGTGCCTGTAATAAATAAAATGCAGGGTCTTGTATCCCAATAAACTTTACAATTGTCGAATAGCGAATTAAAGAATTTTTTGGTTCTTAATCTCTAACTAATGAATAACACACTTTGTATATACAAAAGTTTTACGATTATTTTGCATTCCAGAATGTGGTTTAAATAACTATCAAAGATGAAAACTTTAATAGTCTCTTCATGTATAATTGGGACACACTGCGTATACAGGGTAACCAGCAAATGATGAGACTGTAAAGACGACCAGAAACTCTAAAAATATGACGGTCCTAAGGTTATTTTAAGTCTTCTGTCTTGAATTAAGTCTTTAAATGGTTTTTTTGATTATAAATTAAAGAAAGTAACGAGTACAGTTGCAGGATATAATGAATTTTAGGAAATAGAAGTATAAATTCTGTACAGTCGTCTCTGAAGTCTCATCCTTTGTGGGAAACCCTGTGTATATATATTCATATATATTGGTGGTCTATGTGTAGGTGTATTTGAACCCTGTGATAAGTCTGCCCTGGATTATCTGTGTGATGTTCTTGAACTCGGATCCCGTCCTGCCTCACTTCAATCCCGTGTACGGAGCTCACGCTCCTCCCCATCCTACTCCGCGAGTATAGACTTCTTAAAATGTCGTCTTCTTTCCAGGCTGGAGAATAAGCTCTCAAACCTTCTCTATCTTCAGGTAGTTTCAGAAGAACAGTTTAAAGGGTAATTCACATCATTTATATTTATATTAGTTTTTTCCAAGCTTTTATTTAAATTCCTTTAATCATTCATAAAAACAAATTTACATTTCTAAAATTCTATTTTACCATGATACATCCAAATCCTTATCTTATTCTTCTGAATCCTGAAATCTGCAAAATTAAGTAACCTTAACGTTCAAAACATTTTAGTTTCACTGTTTCAAGATTTTCAATTGAATTTACTTTATTTGACAAAATTGAGATTTAAAAATAGATTCTATTATGTTATTGTTAATTTTTATATCTTAAATTCCCTTTTCTTTGTTTTTATTACCTTTTCTATAGATTTACGTCAAATATGAGCTTGTAAAAATAGATGGATTGGATCAGTGTTAAGTAAAAAACGTTGAATGATGGCTGAGTTCGCTTTGTGTGTAAATTTTATATTTTTTTTAAGGATAAAATTTATAGTCCAGTTTACAGAGGCCCCAGCGAAATATAATAAAAAAGAGATTCTGATAATTTCTAGTCAGTATTTCTTACTGACACAAAGAAAATGATGAACAGGATTTTTAAGGCATAAAAATAATCAAATTAAAACTTTTTAAGCAATGATTAAAATGTCGGGCGACAGCCAACAAAATAATATAAGAAGATACAATGTAATGTTGATTGTGCAATACATATTTAAATTTTAAAGTAAAAACATTATTGAATTGAAAAAAAGTTCGACGATTCTGGGCCTCTTTGATGACATTAAAAAAAATATTTTTTAATGTTTAAAGCATTTAAAAATGAAAAAGGAAAAACAACAGCTTATTTCAAATAGTCATACAATGATAACCTGGTTTCTCTAGAATAGAAAGACGACTTTTAGACTCAAGTTATGACTTTTAATAGTCTAATAAACATGAGACACAGGAATTGTGCAGTTTTGATAAACTCAGTTAACTTGATAAGTGATTCAATAAGTTACAAGTGAAACTACTTGCTGTGTAACAACTACAAATACACAAGTATTTTTATACTTGCTGTGTAACAACTACAAATACACTCAAGTATTGTTATAATGAAGTCTTCCTATTTCACAGTTTTCTGTTTATCACTGTAGTATTTGCAGTAGTGACTGTGAGACACCTTTAGGTCGTCTTTAAACCTTTAAATTGCGACTTAACCTAATTTTACAGGAATTTACGAGGGAATTTTGGTTTTATTTGTTACAAAGGAATCTGAAGGAAAATCTAAAAGTAATTAAGAAAGCATGATAAGGCAGACCCAAGGTTGTTTATAAAGGTTACTTACTCTTTGTAGACGACATTTCCCGTACATTGGGGCGCATCGAGAGTAAGCAACCTAATAGTAAAAAGTTTGGGATTGTTTTAATACTTCCAAGATTTCAAAACTGTATTATGTTAAACTTTGCAAAAAATAGTAAATTGAAAAACAATCCAAAAACGATCGTTTCAACGTGTTTGTTTTTGCATCGTTTTAGGATCGTTCTTGCATCGTTTTTAGATCGTTTTTACATCGTTTTTGCATCGATTTTGGATCGTTTTTGCATAGTTTTTGCATCGTTTTTGCATCGTTTTTGCATCGTTTTTGCATCGTTTTTGGATCTTTTTTTTGTAGTTTTTGCATCGTTTTTGCATCGTTTTTGGATCTTTTTTTTTGTAGTTTTTTCAAGGTCAAAATTTGTTAAAGTAAGACGAGCAAATGTTCAGAATAAACAATTTATAAAACATTTAATCTTCATGCCATATGCACAATGTTGATTGAGCCTATGCACAATGTTGATTGAGCCTATGCACAATGTTGATTGAGCCTATGCACAATGTTGATTGAGCCTATGCACAATGTTGATTGAGCCTATGCACAATGTTGATTGAGCCTATGCACAATATTGATTGAGCCTATGCACAATGTTGATTGAGCCTATGCACAATGTTGATTGAGCCTATGGACAATGTTGATTGAGCCTATGCACAATGTTGATTGAGCCTATGCACAATGTTGATTGAGCCTATGCACAATGTTGACCGAGCCTATGCACAATGTTGACCGAGCCTATGCACAATGTTGACCGAGCCTATGCACAATGTTGACCGAGCCTATGCACAATGTTGACCGACCAAGACCAGGGAATCCATGAGCCCGCGAAATGGTCTCAAGAGACCATATATTCAAGAAACATTGCATACTTATTTAAAGATTAAATATTTTCTTTAAATATGTTATTTTTTACTTCTATAAAATTATTTTAACGTTCAGGGGTAACGCAAAAGTCATTTTAAATACTCATGTGAAAATACAAAGGCTTGGAGACCGTTTTCAGGGGCTCATGGTGTATTTGTTTTTGTTTTTCAATCCACTACGGTCTAAACTTTTTTTCAGGAACTTGGGAAAGCTGAACAAGAAAGAAATGAGGAACGAAACAAAGAATTAATTGAAAAACTGTCAGCAACTTCTCAAAAATCTTATGTAAGTTGATGACTTCTTAATAATTTATTAGTGCAAGTTTTAAGTAGGTTTAGAATCAATCAAGATCAAATTATCAAACGATCAGAGATTAAAGATAAATCAAAACATTCAAAAAAAAGATTAAGTTCGTGAAATTTTTACAGTTGTACATTTGATGTAGGCTGAAAAAAAGAATATAAAAAGAATATCGAATGTGTCAACATTGTTGAAATTTAGATATTTCTAAAGCATAACATTTATTATCTGAAAAACATTTTAGTTTGAAAACAATTGCTTTTCTTAAATTGCCATTTAGATTTTGCAAGAAAATTTAGGCAACCACGGAATTTACATCACTAGTACAGGGTGCAGGTGGATGCATTAGATAAATAAAAGGAAGGATGAATAAAAGGAAGAATGAATAAATGAATGAATAAATGTATGAATAAATGTATGGATGTTTGTATAGGTTGAAAAGTACAGGGTGCAGGTGGATGAATTAGATGAATAAAAGGAAGAATGAATAAATGAATGTATGTTTGTCTAGGTTGACAAGTACAGGGTGCAGGTGGATGAATTAGATGAATAAATGAATGAATAAATGTATGAATGTGTGTCTAGGTTGACAAGTACAGGGTGCAGGTGGATGAACTAAATAAGATCTGCCTCCTCCTCATATCTCTAGCTTGCAGGCTTGCCAAAACCCAGAACTCTCTCAACAGTCAAAACTTGATGGTAAGCATATTGTCACTTTTATTCTGAATTACGACTTTGCAACCTTACAACTCCTCTCGTTTTCACATCACAGTCAAGAACAAAGAGAATAGAATATATATTAGAGTGGAATTTACAAGAAAAAAGTGTAAAACTGCCATCTTGTTGTACTGTTTCCATACTGCAGGTGTACTTCACATATTAATCCTTTTGGACCCTGGAATATCATTTTATTGAAAATCTAAAACTATTGTTAAAAGAAAACCAAATTATGAAATAGGCTGGTTTCATAATTGACCAATGATCATTTCACATAGGACTCTATGCCTTTCACTTTACAAACGATGATTTTCCGTTATAACTATAAATCAAATGATGTTTTTTATTCACCTAATTCATTATAAAGTTTATATAACAGCTTTAAAAAATTCGAAATTGAAATGAATAGTCTAGGGAACATACTGTATTAATGTACTCTACTGCATATAATTTGTGAACATTTACATGATTTGTACACTTTGAACTCCCTTTCAGGCTGAAAGGGACTGAAAAAATCACACCGAGAGATTCTTCAAATACCCCTCTAATATATTTTCTATTCTCTATGGATTTAGCTCTTTCCATCACTAACATTGCATCATTCATATATTCCCTAACTTTGCTATGATTTGTTAAATAATAAACTTCTTCAAAAAAAAGGTAAGAACTGGATTTCATATTATATATGCTGTTTAAGGATGAAGATAAAAGTTTACAAAGAAAGGAGGAAAAATTATTAGAACAATTTAAAGAAGCTCAAGAACTGAAGACGAGTGTATTCAAGAGGGTTTCAACAGTTTCAGCATTTATTCAGGAACTACTAGGAGACCAGGAACAGTCTCTTCATACACTGTACACACGTGTACGTGTACAGCTGTTAGTACAACAACGGCTCCTGGCGGATAAAATGGAAATCACAGAACAAAAAATTGCGGCACTTCGCACACTTTAGTTACACATTTCTTCTCAAAATACATTGTCTTAAAAACCTGAAAATACGACTTTCCTTAACAAATTTATAAATTTTTCCTTAACGTGCTTAATTAATAGTCTTTACTATTGATTAGTGAGGAATGAGGATATTGTCCTATTGTTGATTATAACATACTCCGACAGGACCTTACTTATCTGTTAATTATACATTGTATTTTGTTAGATGTTAGTTGGTCAAATAAAGGCTGTGTTAAAACAAAGAATTCGTTCATTTCTAATTATAAAAACTATATTTTCTGGTTATTACTTCATACAGTGATACTCTAAATAGCCCGGAAAAATAGAAATTGAGAAATTCAAAGTCGTCTTTAACCTAAGAATTGGATTGCGGCATTTATTATGGAAACCTGATTTTAGCAATATGCTTTAATGAAAAAATAAACACAATAGCACTAATCTCAACAATTAAAAAAATATGCTCTGCCAGATTTATACAAAAGAGATTAAAAATATTGTTGAAATTTCAATAAAAAACGTGAAAATGTCTCATTCAGAACGAAATTCTTACTATCTCATGAAAGCTCAAAAATGACAAACCACATTTGATAATTTTAGCATTCAAAAATTTAACAATTAAGTATTCTACTAAAAACATTATACAAGCAATAAGAAATAAGTCATATTCACAGACTCGCAATTCAATAGTTATTTTTAAAAAAATTATGGCACCAGTTTGAATATCAAATTCATTTAATGAATTTAAAAGTTTAAGAATTAGGTTTTTACTTCTATGTACTATGAACGATTACCCAAATATGGAAAAATTATCTAGCATCATTTTAATCCTAAATTCTCAAATTCATTCAAAGCATTAAAAAATTTAACAATTAAGTTATTAAAAAAAAAGATCTCAAATTTTAAAATTCGTTTAACGCATTTAGAAATTTAACAATTATATACTTATGTGAGAACCAGGAAGAGTTAGTTTTGGTTTAAGCTACCCCAAATGAAAATGACCCCAAATGACCCCAAATGAAAATGTGGGTTTTGTCGTGTGTCAATCCTGTTTCTCTGTGACTCGCAAGGCTAAACTACGCTGAAAAAAATCCAGACCATATCATTTTAGTCTGCTAATTTGCGACTTCTCATTTTTTAGTCTTGAAAATTAAAAATCATTTATTTTGCGCCGTACAGAGTCGCAGACTTGAACCAAATTGAAAAAAATATGACCAAATGATTCAAGTCTGATCTGAAATTTTCAAGAATTTTAAAAAATGAGAAAATTCTCAAAGTCGCAAAAAATAGATTAGAATCTCTCAATCTTTACTTCAATGTGTTTCAAGTCTGCGACTTATCGCGAAACTGAAATAAATCAGAATGACGATTTGAAAATCACAAGAATGAGAAAAGTCGCAAAGTCGCAAAAAAAAAAAACACTAAAATCAAATGGTCTTATTTTTTTCAATGTGGTTCAAGTCCGCGACTGCAGAAATAAATCATAAATTGACTTAAAATGTGGTAAAAGCAAGGTTTTATAATAAGGTTAGTTACTCTCGATGCACTCCAATGTACGGAAAATGTCGTCTCCTATGTCCTAAAATAAATAGATAAATATCCAATATGATGCCACTTTCGCCTCTATAATCAATAACGTCATATTGGATAGACGGCATTTTAGTAGATCTTATGGAGACGGCATTTTCCGTACATTGGAGCGCATCGAAAGTAACCAACTTGTCTTATTTCAATGTTTTTTTTCTAGATAAAATAAGCTTTGAAACAAAGCAGAAGTCAAAATTTAACATTAGCACACGATGAATACTTTTCAGTACGTTCCTTATGAAATTCACGATGAAGTGAGTAAGTACACAATAGTTTCATAAACTATATTTATTTCAAATCTAAAAATATTCCAGACAGCTTATAATATTGGTTTATATTTACGTCGTAGAAAACTTAATATTAAAGATATTAGTGACAAAATCAAAACATATAAACTTATGAAGCCCGTTGAAGCTACACAAGTTGGAGCAACATATTAAACTTTTAGGAGCAGGTTGGATCTACAGATATACCAGCTAAAGGAGCAGGTTGGGGCTACAGATATATCTGCTATAAGAGCAGGTTGGAACCAAAAATATTTCTGTCATAAAAGCAGGTTGGAGCTACAGATACATCTGATAAAAGAGCAGGTTGGAGCTACAGATATATCTGCTATAGGAGCAGGTTGGAACCAAAAATATTTCTGTCATAAAAGCAGGTTGGAGCTACTGATATATCTGCTATAGGAGCAGGTTAGAGCTACAGTTATAAGTGCAATAGGAACAGGTTGGAGCTACAGATATATCTGCTAAAGGAGAAGGTTGGAGCTACAGATATATCTGCTATGGGAGCAGGGTGGAGCTACAGATATATTAGTTATAGGAGCAGGTTAGAGCTACAGTTATAGCTTCAATAGGAACAGGTTGGAGCTACATATATATCAGTTATAGGAGCAGATCGGGGCTACAGATATATCTGCTATAAAAGTAGGTTGAAGCCAAAAATATTTATGTTATAGGAACAGGTTGGGGCTTCAGATATATCTGCTATAAGAGCAGGTTTGGGCTACAGATATATCTGCTTTAGGAGCAGGTTGGAGCTACAGATATATCTGTTATAGGAGCAGGTTGGAGCTACAGATATATCTGTTATAGGAGCAGGTTGGAGCTACAGATATAAAATCTTCAGTGAGGTCTGTTATAAATCAATTTTTTTCTTCAAAAATCAATTTTTTACTCAAGTTTTATTTTTTTAAATCCACGGGCAACACCGGGCACTTGTCTTAAAGATCGTTTTTTGGGACGTCCTGTAATTAAAACCAACTTTACCTTGATAAACCAAAGGAACCCTGAACAAAGAAGAAGAATAACAATAAACCCGTAAGCCATTATCTTATCACAGGCCTCCATTTCAGAATAATGATGCCTGAAATATACTCAATCAAAAACAATTTGAATTTGAAGCAAAGTACTCGCCGACATTGAATTGTCCGGTTTTATAATTCTACTCAACTAACTTAGTTTACCGGTCAAATTGCTATAATTCTACTCAACTAACTTAATATCCCGGTCATATTGCTATAACTTTACTCAACTAACTTAATATACCGGTCATACTTAAAATTCTACTCAACTAACTTAATATACCGGTCATATTGCTATTATTCTACTCAACTAACTTAATATACCGGTCAAATTGCTATAATTCTAATCAACTATCTTAATATACCGGTCATATTGCTATAACTCTACTCAACTAACTTAACATCCCGGTCATACAAGATATTTGATCTACTGATCGAAGTTTAATAGCCTGGTCATAAAGATATTTCCTCTTCTGACTTAAGTTTAATAGTCCGGTCATAAAGATATTTGATCTACTAACTGAAGTTTAATAGCCCGGTCATAAAGATATTTCATCTACGGACTGAAGTTTAATAGTCCGGTCCAAAAGATATTTGATCTACTGACTGAAGTTTAATAGCCTGGTCATACAGATATTTGATCTACTCACTGAAGTTTAATAGTCCGGTCCAAAAGATATTTGATCTACTGACTGAAGTTTAATAGCCTGGTCATAAAGATATTTGATCTACTGACTTAAATTTAAAGTCCGGTCATAAAGATATTTGATCTACTGACTGAAGTTTAATAGCCCGGTCATAAAGATATTTCATCTACTGACTGAAGTTTAATAGCCCGGTCAAAAAGATATTTGATCTACTGACTGAAGTTTAATAGCCTGGTCATACAGATATTTGATCTACTCACTGAAGTTTAATAGCCTGGTCATAAAGATATTTGATCTACTGACCGAAGTTTGATAGCCCGGTCATAAAGAAACTTGATCTACTGACCAAAGTTTGATAGCCCGGTCATAAAGATATTTGATCTACTGACCGAAGTTTAATAGCCCAGTCATAAAGATATTTTATTTAAGTTTACCGAAGTTTGATAGCCCGGTCATGTAGCTGATGTCTATGCCGGTCATCTGCAAGTCTATTGTTCAGCAGCTGATCTATCTTTACCATCTTTCTCCTAAAGAAAACAAAATTTTTAATAATACCTAATTAAGATATCTTTTAGGTTTCCGAAAATTATACTTGGGGATAGCAGCTGTGCATGGCTGGTGATTATATGATTATATCTGAAGGTAGCAGCTAGTTTATAGCTGGTTATTATACCTGGAGGTAGCAGCTAGTTCTTGGCTGGTTATTATACCTGAAGGTAGCAGCTAGTTCATGACTTGTAATCTTTACATCTGAAGCATCAGACTCACCAGAAGGAAAAAGTTCATCCTTCACATTCGACTGTATATTCAACTGTATTCCAGATTGTACACTTGGAAGCCCTCCGGACTGGCTGTTTTCCATTAATCTACAGACACTCTACATATTTTGAATTCAAGACCTGGACCGAATTGTCTCAAATTTTGAGATTTTAAGCTGAGTGGAAAAACTTTTATTTCAAAAATTTAGTTTCCCGGTAAAATCGACAAAGTGCGGGTAAGCGGCGGGAGTATCTGTGAGTAACCTGGGCAACTCTGGTGGCTATTAAATTAGTAAAGTCTAATTTGTGAGCAATCCTACATAACTTGCATAGAATGGTACATTTTTTACCCAAAATGCAAAAACATACTACATAAACCCTCCTCCAAGTACTCCAACTACTCCCTCAACTAGGTCCTCTAGGTGTCCTTCACACCTTCCACCATTGGAACTCATTTTATAATTTCTGCAAGTTTTAGTTTTTAATAATATTGTATACTCATAACAAAAGTGAGACCAGGGAATAGGAATGAAGGGAAAGAAAATGGCGCTGGATTGGCATGAGAAAGCCAGTCGCACTGCTTTGCAGACCAGTACGGTAACCTTACACACACTCTTCTGGTACAGACATGCAACATGACTACAGTCAAGGAAATTGCAGAACAATGTCGTCAATTATAATTAAACTTGAATAACGAGTAGTTTATCGTAAACTTTAATCAAATTATATTTTTTTTTCATGCAAATTTTGCTTATAGTGTTGACTAAATAATAAATAATATATTACATGCATATTAAACTTATTTCCAAGTAAATAATTAACAATAAACAAATGTACTCTCCTAGACTGTACAAATACCGAGATTCTAACCGTACTGTATAAACCTACAGTACACACCTTTGGTACGGTAACCTTACACACACTCTTTTGGTAAAGACACACGCACATGACGTTTCCGTCCCCTGAGTGAGACCCATAAAGACGAACGTGGGACTCAAGTTGTGATTTTAAATGGGAAAATAAACAATTGAAGCAGATGAATTGTATATTGTCTTCAGGATCATCTCACTTTATGATAGAAGTTCAATCTGGTAAAAATATTTATTTCTTGTAACAACAAAAACACACATGATATTGCTCAAATGCACATGATATTGCTCAAATGCACACGATATTGCTCAAATGCACAAAATATTGCTCAAATGCAGATGATATTGCTTAAACGTCGGCTTACTATTCCACAATTTTATGGGTTCCAACTTTTACTGCAAGTATGATGATGTCTTGTATAATAGGCGATATCCTCAGTATACACTTCCTCAGTATACACTTCCTCAGTATACACTTCCTTTTCCACTTTGATAAGTTGGTTTTCAAGCTACTAGTAAAAATATTTACTTTATTTATTTTATTTATTTATTTATTTTAATTTATTTATTAAATAAGATTGCTAAAATGTCGTCTTTTTATTCCACAATTTTATGGGGTTTGCTGCAAAATTTCTGTCAATAGGTAATATCTGGGCAAATAGAGAGCAGAGTGGATAACTCTGTGAATTGTTCAGTCCAACTGGTAAAGCAGGAATTCTGCTAAAACTCTCCTCAGCAAACATTTCTTGTCAGCCTGGTGTGCCTTGACAAATTCTTTTGCTAAGGCATCAGAATTTTTACAAAAACGAGACCTTGACATATTACATGCTGATAACATGATGGAAGATCTGATAAAGGTATTCATTTTTTCTATTTTTTCCTTACAGTCAATTAAAAAATGTATTTCCTTAAAGGGACTGTAAGCGTAATTTCAATTTCGCCTTTATGCAAAGATGACAATGCTTGATTTACAACATTACCCTTTAAAGCTTGTCTGACCAGGTATGAATAAGATATTATAGAGGACGTGAGTCAGACTCTAAAAAAAACGCATAAACAACTTCCAGTATATATATTTCTTATAACTTATTACTAGAGGGTTCAGAGCTAGAGTCAATATCGATATCGCACGTGTAGATGTTTTATCAGTACTATGCCCCGTATCCGTTCTATCTCATTCTGTTGAATCTTGTGGAACTAGTTTAACGCGGCCAGGCATCGTCTTCCACAATATCCATGTTTTAGGAGAAATTCACATGAATATACAGAAAACACGCATCGACATTTTTAATCAGATTAATGTTTCAATGGTACAGTTGTAAATCTGGCATTGCTATCTTTGCATGTTGGGACGCTTAAAATTAGGCTTACAATCCCTTTAATATCGAAACTATCTAAGGAAATTTTTCTAAATCTCAAAATATTTTAATTTCTCAATCTGGTGGAACAGGATCACTACTGACTAATTGATTATATTTGGTCTGCTGAGCTATGGCGAAAATTTAAAAGTGTGGTGAACTTCTAGATGTCGAGATAGTGCCTACTGCCTACTGCCTCTTCGCTGCAGTAAACAAACTATGCGAGATGATACTCCTGAGATGAGATTTTAAAAGATTAAACCAGAGTAAAACCAGGTCTTTGTGTCTGTTTGACCCAAGTAAAGCTAAAGTCAAGACCCGGGTTTTGGATGGCCTTGAGTTATGTAAAAACCAACCATCTTGGGGCTTTCTCTCTTTAAGGCTCGAGTCTTCACCAGCCATGATGATCGTGAATTTCGTAAAATCTTTTATATTTACCAGAATTGACCATATTTGGTCTGCTGAGCTATGGCGAAATTCAAAAGTGTGGTGAGCTTCTTGATGTCGAGATAGTGCCTCTTCGCTGCAGTAAACAAACTATGCGAGATGATACTCCTGAGATGAGATTTTAAAAGATTAAACCCGAGTAAAACCCGGTCTTTGTGTCTGCTTAGACCCAAGGAAAGCTAAAGTCAAGACCCGGGTTTTGCATGGCCTTGAGTTTAGTAAAAACCAATTATCTTGGATTTTTCTCTCTTTAAGGCTCGAGTCTTCACCAGCTGATGATAGTGAATTTAGTAAAATCTTTTATATTTGCCAGAATTGACCATATCTGGTCTGCTGAGCTATGGCGAAATTCAAAAGTGTGGCGAGCTTCTTGATGTCGAGATAGCGCCTCTTTGCTGCAGTAAACAGTTCTGACTATTTCAAGAATACGGTGGCAAAAGAATTATTGACATTACTTCTGGCAAATTTGAGATTAAGGTTTGGAAGCACCAGATCAGATGTTTGCGTTAACACCAGATAAGATGTTTGCGTTAACATCAGATAAGATGTTTGCGTTAACATCAGATAAGATGTTTGCGTTAACATCAGATAAGATGTTTGCGTTAACATCAGATAAGATGTTTGTGTTAACATCAGATAAGATGTTTGCGTTAACACCAGATAAGATGTTTGCTTTAACATCAGATAAGATGTTTGTGTTAACACCAGATAAGATGTTTGCTTTAACATCAGATAAGATGTTTGTGTTAACACCAGATAAGATGTTTGCGTTAACACTAGATAAGATGTTTGCGTTAACATCAGATAAGATGTTTGCGTAAACACCAGAAAATCTTCTTAACAAAACATCAGATGACGTCCTTCAAGATCTGGACGAATTCACCAATCAGTTACTTGAGCTCCTTGAGCTTTACTTGGGCCTAAGCAGACGCAAAGACCGGGTTTTACTCGGGTTTAAACTTTAAAAATCTGATCTCTGGAGCTGTTAATGTGTTGGGTGCAAGTTTCTCTGCACAAAGTCGGCAATATTATAGAATTTATTTAAATTGTATTTTATTTTATTGTACTGTATTGTCTGAGCTCTATACTGAGTAAATCATTGAAATGTTTGTGCAAGAAAACCTATCTAAACATTTCAAAGAAATTTTGTATCAAAGTGAAAATATAATTTTTTAATGATGCTGTGATTATTGATTAAGCTAGCTGTGATGAAGTTAAGTGAAAAAGATAAAGTTAAAGAGTTAAAGTTAGTTTTTTGAGCAAATAAATGATTTATTAGACTCAATAAGGTTTGTAAAACCCAAAAATTTAGTGTTTTTAGTGTATTTTCATGGCATTAATTGACTTTCTGAACAAAACAATTAGAGGATAAAAATCAAAATTGAAATCTANCTGCGTATAATATGTAAGATGCAAACTAATAAACATGGGAAATTAGTGTACTGAATATTTTTACAATTTTCAGTCCTATCCTTCTCCATTAACAAAAATGATATCAAAAGAGAAAAGTTGGGAATAAAATTATAGAAAAATAGTATATCGATCTCTACCATATCATAGCTTGCCCCTATCGCCTGTCCGCCTATACGCCATTTGGTATGATGCGCCATTTTGTTCAGTTACCCACCATTTCGTTCAAATATCCGCCATATTGGTAAGCTATCCGCCATATTGGTAAGATAATCGCCATTTTGGAATGATATCCGCCATTTTGGGATGATTTCAGACATTTTATTCAGATATCAGGCATTTGGGTAAGATATCCGCCATTTTAATAAGATATCCGTCATCTGTATAAAAATTTGGCTTGTCTGTCTGTCTGTTTGTTTGTATCCAATAAACGTCAAAACGGCTGAATCGATCGGGCCCAAATTTTTTGTGTGACATTACGTGACCACAGAGAAGGTTTATGAATGATAAAAATTTAAAAAAATGTGTTTTAAAGGTTTTTAATTTTGTAAAAAAATATATATTCTTGAAAATCCGCGAATTTTTTTTTAAAATCTGCGAAATTTTTTTCTTCTTAAAGTCTGAGGAACGGTTAAAACGATACTACTGATCCAATTACCTTATTTGGAAACAATTTATTTTTGCAGGCGCTTTTCATACGTTTTTCTTTTCAGTTGTAAAATTGATAAAATTTTACAGTATGATAACTGGGAGGTTTTAAGTTACTTGTTTAGAACAATTTAGGACCCTTAGAACATTTTATAAACACGTTTTCTTAGATATCTCTTTTATATAAAGATTTGTTATATACTAGCTTGGGAACCCAGCGCTGCCAAGGTTACTAAAAGTTACTTTCGCCGTTTACCCGCACTTACACGATTTTACCGGAAACTAAATTTTCGCTATTAAAGCCAACCTACTCAACTAAGAATCTTAAACCCAGGCTAAGAACATTCCCGTGGGTCTTCCGAGTTCCCCAATCAAAATTTGAGGCAAATCGGTCAAGGGGTTCCTGGGTCATGATCGGACAAACAAACAGACAAAGAGTGATTTTAACTATAGATCCAAACAGTTACTCCGAGTCCGATATACTTATTTATATCGGGTTTTATTACTAAATAGTATATCTCCTGAATCTGAGTCAAACTGTGATGAATGATAAAATAATGAAATAATGAAATTCATGATGATGTAAAGGGACTAAAAGCGTAATTTCAAGTGAACCTCCATGCAAAGATGGCAATACCCGAGTTACCACAGTATCCTTGAAACTTTAATCTGATCAAAAATGTGGAAGATTTGACGTTTTATCTGGATCGAAAAGTGATTATTTTTTAAGTTTCTCCGGTGTTTTTATTAACAAGACATGCGGCGCAAGTCACTTTTGCAGATAACCCGCAAATGAATATTTAATGAAACAAAAACATTGATGTATAATTCAAAAGTACCGTTGTAAATCGGACATTGCAATTTTTCATTGGAGGGTCACTTGAAATTACGCTTACAGTCCCTTTAAATAAGTACTTGACGTTGCCCGGACTGTATAAATATCTCGCCTACAGGAATTTTTCCAGGTCAGCGTCATTTATTTTCTTCTCCAGGTGAGGTTGAATCCCCTCTTGGGGTCTGAAAGTGAAAACCCCCTAGCTAAAAAATATTTTTATCATACGGGTAACGCCAGGCCCTTCAGCTAATAAAGCTCTTTGCTCATATATATGTGTTTGCATGAATTTTTTTATCCAAAATATAATTTATTTTTTTTCAAAAATTAAATTTATTTTTCAAACTTCGAATTAAAAACCTTCACAGCCACGCCGGGCACCTCAGATATTATATTCTATTTTATTTGTGAAATTAACTTTCCCTGCATTATTATGACTAAGGTTTCATTATAAATCACAAAACCTCGATCCCACCTATTCCATTTCTGCTGAATTTCAATAAAATTATAAACTTGAATATAAGTGTTAGTTTATATTTTCACTCTTACACTCGTACAAAGAACATTTTTTTTGCAAACTTTCCATTTTCATTTAAATTTTTTCTTATAAAGTCTTTTATGGATTTTTTTCGTCATAGTTGGTCGCATTTATAATGTTGTTCTCTTTTTCAAACGCCAATTATAAACTTTCAAAATAACTTTAATACTTTAGGAGAAATTTTTTTTCCAGATTGAAAAAACGACAGAAAAAAATTCTCTGGCATCGTTTATTATTAAGAGGGAGATCAAAATGTTGATCATCATGGATCACTTTAAAACGTCACTAATAATCCCTTTAAAGGGACTGTAAGCGTAATTTTAAGTGACCCTCCATGCAAAAGATGGCAACGCCTGATTCACAAAGGTACCCAGAAAACCTTAAATCTGATCAATATTGTGGAAGATATTGTCGTTTTTTCTGATGATTTCTATGATGGAGTCTTGCAGTGGAAATGTTTAAATCACTTTTGTAGAGAAGAAATCACAATTTAAAACAATTAGTTTTTTAAACTACAAACATTGATAACTATTTCATACTTCATCAGACATAGCTTTGAAGGGTTCGTTGTGAATCAGGTCACTTGAAATTACGCTTACAGTCCCTTAAATAAAAAAAGTTATTTGGTTTAATTTCACATTAATGAATAAAGAAAGCTATAAGACAGATCAAGAAACGTATGTCGATGCATATTAAAGAAATATTTAAAGAAATGTATATTTGAGTAAACTTTGAAACTCAGCTTTATTTCAAATCAAATTGAATTTATGATTATAAGATTTTGAAGATAAGATATATTCAATAGGGCAACTTCGTTCTTTCGGGCTTACGTTTAGTTTTCAAACGCTGACGAGTGACGGCCCGCTCAGTTGTTGCTGTTATGTAGACAGAGAAAGACGTGGAACACTCTTTAAAATGGGTGATAATAGAAATAATTTTAGAAGACAAAATTTAAACCGGAAAAGTGTGAGAGAAGGTCGATGTTACAGTGTTGTAGTTACTGACAAGGAAATAGAACTGTTAAAGAAACAGGAGATTAAGGAGAATAAAGAGAACCAGAGTCCTAAACCTAATCCTGGTTTTGTTAAATCCATGTGTAAATTTTACTCCGGTGTGTTTACTGCCAGCTCTGGTGGGAAACCGGTTCAAAGATCGAACAGTTTGTCGGAGAACAAAGATAAAAATGGAAGCCAGAAATCCACCAAACCTTCTCCCTTGGAAATCCGGCGAACCTGTAGTTTTCAGGATAAATCACTGGGAGATACTGAAGAGTTCCAGGAGAGGTCTATCTCTGAGAGTCCCCAACTATCTCCGACCTGGCAAAGTATTAAAAGTCAAGACTCTGGATTCTCTGACTCCGGAGAGAGTGAGGAGGGTCGGAGCCCTGAACTCAATATCTACTATGTCCAAGAGGAGTCTCGTGATAAGTTATCTGGCAGCTTGAGTACAGTTTCTAGTCTGCAGACAGGATTGAGATTGAAACTTGAAGGAGAACCCAGATCACTCCACCAGACTAGAACAGAGCTAGCCAAGAGTATGTTTAAGGCGGACTGTAACTCCGCCAGTAAGTTGATCCATTTTATAAACGCCAGGAATAGGGAGAAGGTTCTGCAGAGTAGAACCTTGTCTCCGGTAGACTCTGCTCCGCTCCGACCCAAACCCTCCGGACCTATGTTCAGTACACCCCTGAGATCATCTTTCAGACAGAGACCTAGAACCATTATTGGTATTGAAGAGGCGCACACTCCTGTGAAAGTTGAACCCAGATCTAAACTAAGAGAGATAAAAAACCGTCGGAGATTATCTCATTCAATCCAGTCCTTACAAGGAGTTGAACTTGATAAACCTGGAGTTCATGAGACCATAATTGAGCATGGAGATATCCTAGACCCAACCCTGCTCCAGGATACACAGAACAGTAGGATTAACTCCTCCAACCTAAGTGGAAGAGAAGTGAATGAGTTAAACTCTAGTCAGACTGATCCTGTTTATGAATGGTGGAGAGACCTATTGGTTATGACTGACTCCGAGTGCATGACTTATCTTCAAAGTAAACCAATCCTACCTAGATTAGGACAATCAGCCTCTAATCAGCAGACCTCCAGCCTCCAAACCTCCAGCCGAACAGCCTCTAGTTTAGCCTCGTTGCTTAGGAAACCCAGTTTGAATGTTCAAAGGATCAATTATATTATAGAAGCTAATCAAATAATTCAGGATACAATTGTTCAATTCACCAGGTAAATTGGTCTTATGATCATAATGAATATTACTCTTCAACATGCAACTAATCAAATTCATCTAAAAATTGTTGAGGTTTTAAAAGGACTTTAAGTGTAATTTTAAGTGAGCTTCCATGCGAAGATGACAATGCCCGATTTACAACAGTACCCTTGAAACCTTCATCTGATCAAAATTGTGGAAAATACCGTTGTTTTCCTGACTTGGAAAGTGTTTAATACTAAACATTTCTTCATTGCTTCTTGCAAAATATGGACCCCTTTGCAGAGTAACCAAATGTAAAGTAAATGAAAATAATCAGGTTAAAGAAACAAAGACGTGAATATCTAATTCATACTTGATTAAACAAAGTTTTTAAGGGTATCGTTGTAAATCGGTCATTGCCATCTTTGCATGGAGGGTCACTTGAAATTTCGCTTACAGTCCCTTTAATTAATTCTCAGTAATCCAACCCATTTTTAACCAATCTAAATCCATTACAACCAATTCTAATCAGTAATAAAAACCAAATTGAACTAATTTTAAAGCAATCAGCTTTAAAAAATATAATTCACTCGAGGCATTCTGAAAGCTCAAACCAAAGCTTGGGTGTTAAAATGAGAGGGATGGGTGTGGGGGAAATTTTCAATTTTCTTCGCTATTTTAGATCAAATTGAAGTAAATTTCATGACTCGTAAGTTTAAGAAATCTCATTTAGTGCGTATTTTGGTCAAGATTAGTACTTAATAATTCAGCTTTTTCAAGAAAAAAACGATTCCAGAAGGTTTTAAAAACATTTCATGTTAACATTATTTACACTGACAAAAAATAATTTTTGTCTCTTTTTATACTTTTTTAAAAACCTGCTTTTTTTCTTATGTCTCCCATTTTCCCTCCTTCTCCAAGTTTAGAAGATTTTATGCTCGATAAATTTCATTTAAACATTTTTGTTTCAGAGAGTTTGGAGTGCAGAGTCAGATTGAGATGAATAAAGGAATAATGCAGTTGATAACCAGGATACAAGATTATGTTTATGATTATAACCAGGGTCTCACGGCTCTAGAAACAGTTTCATGTCGAGATTTGCCCGGTCTCCGGTCATCCAGTGATTTGCCCGGTCTGGACGGAACCTATGAGATTCTGCTACTCCAACAACAAGGAGTGCTTCATATCCTGGACAGGTTAAAACTCTGCTCCCATAGGAGTGAATACACTCCGACCAAACCTATCCTAGATATACGACGGGTTCTAGGACACCTGGAGAAAGGGTTTCTCAAGTTGGCGGATCTAACCCTGAGAAAAGAATTGAAGAGCGTTGTTGAAGCTCTATCTTCTCCACACAACGATCTGTTTACAATTGAATCCTTGAATATTCTGATAGGACTTGGAAACCAGCAATCTCAGCAGGTCAACTCAGTTCTATCGGAGATTAAAACTATCGAAACCTTGGTCCAGCTTTGCGAATCGACCAACAGTCGAGAGGTTCAACTTCTCTCTCTCCGATCTATTAGTTCTGTATCCTGTACTATAGAGTGTATCCGGAACCTGGAAAGCGCTGGAGGGATCAGTATGATCTCGAGGCTTCTTGTCTCCGATCCTTCTCTCGAGGTGAGAGTTGAGGCTGCCGGAGTTCTAGCACAGATAACATCTCCCTGGATCTCGGATAACCACCGGGTCTCCGGGTTGGATGATCATGTCTCCAGGTTGGTTCCTCAGCTCTCTAACCTGGCGAGGTTACAGTGTGGAGAAGATAGTTTCCTTCTTGTCTCTGCTGCACTAGCAAACTTAACCTTCATGGAACCCTCCTGCCTAGAGAACCTTCTCCAGTGCTCAACCTCTAGGATTCTTATGAGCAGGGTTGAGTCTACTCCGTTTATCTCCTTGTTTGCACGGGACCAGGTTGTCACTGTGCTGGCCAACCTAGCTGGAGTTGAACCTGGACGAGAGAGAATACTTCGGGACGGAGGAATAGAGTTCCTTGTATCCCAGCTTAATATTAATGTTGATACGGCGGATACCCAGGCGGAGCTCGAGGCGGTGGAACGAATGCTGAAAAAATCCGCCATTGCACTCTGTAGAATATGCCTGGGTGAGGCGGAGTGTAGGTTACTTGAGCAGGTTGGAGGGGTAGAGAGGGCAGTTCAGTTATCCCAGGAACCAGCTTCAAGGAACTACAGTGATTCTGTTCTAGTGGCTTGTTTAGCTCTACTCAGGAGAGTTTCATCAAACCTTAACCTAGAAATAGAACAGAGTTTAATCCAGGACTCTCTAGTTCAATCCTTCAGAGAGTTAAGCAGTAAACATGAAAGTTATGTTTGAATCTGAGAAAAGCATTGTGATAAATTTAATCATGTTTATACCAAAGAAATATAGATTTTATCAAATATCTAGGTGGTCTACGGACTAAAATAAATCTCCTAATATTTTATTTTTGTTAATTTTCACGAACTTTCATCGAGGCCTTGACCCCTAGAGAGTCCAATGACGGTTAGGAATTTGTTAAATAATTTCAAGAAATGGAAGAAAGCAAATATAGTTTTCTTACAAATGTGAATAAAGCTTCAAATATGCTGGAATCATATTTCCAGAAGATTCGTTTATTCACAGTCTGCAGATAAGANCAAGAAATGGGGGAGGAGGGGGGGGGGTTATGAAATATAAAGTATGTATTGAATTATCACAATAAGAACTCAAAAGTAGCATTCATTGATTGCTTGGGACTGTAAGCGTAATTTCAAGTGAACTTTAATGCAACAAAGGCAATGCTTTGATTTATATCTAGACCCTTATACCATTAATTACATAACATAAATAAACTGACGTTTTTCTGAGTCGAAAAGCGTTTATTTTCTTCTTTTCAGCAAGAAATGCGTCAGTTCTTTTCGCAGAGAAACCGCGAAAATGAAAATGAAATTAAACAGTTTAAAGAAACTAAAACATGGATATCAAATTCAAACAAAAATTTCAATTGAGTACTGTTGTAAATCGGGCATTGCCATGCAGGGTCAATTAAAATTACGCTTACCAAGTCCCTTTCAAAGATTAGTTGAAAAAGAGTTTTGGGATCCAGTCCAGAGTGATTTTTATTTTCATCTATCCAGACCAAAGTTAGTGCTTTCAAAAAGAAAAATATTTCCGTCAAGAATATACAGCATCATAAATATTTTCGACAAGAATATACAACATCATAAATATACAGCATCATAAATATTTCGACAAGAATATACAGCATCATAAATATTTTCGGCAAGAATATACAACATTATAAATGTTTCCGTCAAGAATATGCAACATCATAAATATACAGCATCATAAATATACAACATCATAAATATAAAACATCATAAATATAAAACATCATAAATATAAAACATCATAAATATAAAACATCATAAATATAAAACATCATAAATATTTCCGTCAAGAATATACAACATCATAAATATTTCCGTCAAGAATATACAACATCATAAATATTTCCGTCAAGAATATACAACATCATAAATATTTCCGTCAAGAATATACAACATTATAAATATTTCCGTCAAGAATATTCAACATCATAAATATTTTCGTCAAGAATAAAAATGCTACATCATAAATTGATGTTTTCAAAAATAATTTAAGCTGTAGGTTTAGGATGAAACAATTTTATATTATTTCTTTTTTATTTACAATGGTTGCTTATTTTTACACTCTATCTTCTCAAATCAGGGTTAGTCAAAAAAATAGTGTGATTAGCGGCGCACGCCTGGTGCAAAATTGTACCTTTTTGTGCAACTCTCCTTTCTGGTTTTTTTTGTTATTTGAATGGCTCAAAAAAATCCTGTAACCTTTTGTTCTCACAAAATTAAAAGTTCAGAAAGACAAAAATGTGTATACAAAATATTTCTTTCAAAATCAAAAATTTTATAAAGATTGAATAAAAGAATCACAGAAAGTTCGCAAAATTGTAAAAAGAAAATTCTCAAATTTCAGTTCTGGTTAATTTTCAAGGAAAAGTTATTTAAATTCTCCATTTCCTTTCTTCTTTGTATATTCTAAAGTTTTAAATATACGCTGTTCAATTGAAACCTGAAGAACCATTGAAAAACAATTTCTCCTTAAAAATTAGGCATCTTCGCATTTAGCGTCACTCAAAGTTACGCTTACCAAGGTATTAATGCAAGGAAAGTTTATTGCAGTTGAGTATACTCTGCGTACATATTGAAACCAGTTCTCTCTGGGCGCCTATAGTTTGTAAACAAGAATAGATGCGTCAGTGTTCGTTCAGTATCCGAGGAGGTCAAAACCATTTAATTTGGATAATTTTTTAAATTCACATACTGGTTTCCTATGACTAGAATATTTCATAGATTATTTTTGTGAAAATGGATTCCATGTCAGGCTGTGACATCCGTCTTGTGTTTACTTTTCCGCCTAAAGACAGTACAGTGCAGTACAAAAATGATTACACCTCTGAAATAACTTTCCTTGCATTAGTACCTTGCGCTTACACTCCTTTTAGTAAGTTAATGTCCAAGCTTCTTGTAAACATACATGCCCTGCAGAATTGCATAATTGTTATTTTAATAATGCTAAATGCTACAGTCAAAGTATTGCTTTAAGGGAAATATTAAAAAAAATAATCCCTAAAAAATCCGGCAAAGAGTAGCAATTATAATTACTTTAAGCTGATGCGGACTTATATTTATCTGGTCGAAGCAATATTAGGATTGTTAGAAATTTAAGCAAAAGAAGATGATCGGTTTAAAATATATCAAATCTTTATCTTGGGATCCAGGATTTGATAAAATACTTGCATCGTGTGTTGAAAACCTTTATCTTTTTAGTGTTTAAGTTCATGTCTGAGGGTAGGAGATAAAATACGGGGTAATGGATACTTCATGCTGAAATCTACTTACCCCATTTTTCCCACCAAATAATTCAGACTGCTCCGTGCCCTTATTCCTAGAATTGTAAGGCTATAACTTTTGAATATCAAGGACTTAGTTTTCAGTAGAAGCTAAAAACTAAAGAAAATATCCTAGGACAAAAATATATTTAAATAAATGACTATGAATCAGCAAGTTCTGGGGGGAGGGGGTGGTATGTAAATTGGAAGGTTTGGCCCCCTGGAGGGGGGGAAGGGGGTAAATGTTGGAGAAATTTCCTTGAAACTTGGTTTGCCATCGGGTGATGCTTTTTTGAGGAACCATTTCATTTTAAAATACTTTTTATACTGTTTAGGATATATAGTCTGTACCAAGGTTATAATGCAAGGAAAGTTAATTGCAGTTGCGTATACTCTGCGTGCATATTGAAACCAGTTCTCTCTGTGCGGAATTTGTAAACAAGAACAGATGCATCAGTATCCGAGGAGGTCAAAAACATTAAATTTTGATAATTTTGACAATGCACATAATAGTTTCCTTTGACCAGAAAATTTCAATGATTTTTTATGTGAAAGATGGATCCCATGTCAGGCTGCGACATCCGTCTTGTAATTACATTACCGCGCAGAGACAGTACAATGCAGTACAAAAGATGCGTAAACTTCTGAAATAACTTTCCTTACATTATAACCTTGCTCTGAACTAGGTATTGTTCGATCAGACCAAATTTCCATATTTAATGGAGAAATCTTCTGAACCTGTAAAGTATGCAGTATACTTTAGGATTTTGCAAAATTCGACTAGTTTTTGCAGTTATTTAGAATAAAAACGGAAACTTTTTAGCATGGATAAATATTCGAAGAATGTTTTGGCTTGCTTTGTTTGAGAGTTAGATGTTTAGTTGTTTTGTAGTAAAGGACCTACTCCATAAAAGTCTTTCAGACCCGTATCAATCCAGGTACAACTCAATCAGGAACTAACGGTTCCATGAATACCACTATCAATGTTAATCCGGACACAACTTTGTGAATAGCAATACTCGTTTCCTCTCGTCTTGTTATACTTTACGAAGCAAAAGAGCTTTTTAGTTTAGTAATACTTTACTATCAATGTCAATCAGGACACAACTCTATCTGTTTCGATTCCCAATCTATTTCTATTTTTCAAGAGAGGGATTCAGGACGCTTCTGGTTCGCTAATCAAGAAGTACTTACTCTCACACCCTAATCAAAGCGGAATTTAATTCCAACTGACGTGTATTTAGATATCCATGCTACAGGTTAAGTTAATTTACGTATTTACAAGATTTGCGTATATTAAAAGCGTAGTTAAGCTAATCACAATACAGGTTTGGCATAGTTATTTACAGACGTAGCTAGGTTAAATTAATCGCAATACAAGTTTTTCGTAGACATTTACAAGCACATGTAGGTTTATAGACAATGTACAAAGGAATATATCTAGGTATGTTCAGGTTAATAAATATAGGCTTTGCTACAATATTTGTTTCAGTTTGGGTAATTTGGTTTAGATAAGGAGGTTACGATGAACAGGGGTTTGATTTGGTTTAGCTGGCTTGGATCAATATGGACATTTTTTGTTTTATTTGTCAGCAGGTTATGATATGTTGGGTTTGACTTGTTTGGTTTATGGGAAGCACGTTGTTTTGTGTTGGCTTGTATAGTTTGGTTTATGGGAAGCACGTTGTTTTGTGTTGGCTTGTATAGTTTGGTTTATGGGAAGCACGTTGTTTTGTGTTGGCTTGTATAGTTTGGTTTATGGGAAGCATGTTGTTTTGTGTTGGCTTGTATAGTTTGTGGGTTTAGGTGGGTTTGGATTGGTAGATTTAGATTATTATTGGTAGGCTTGTTTGTTACTTTTCGGATTCTTTATTTTGGTTTGATTTTGCTTCCTTGATTTTCGGGGGTTTTATCGGTTTGGGCTGCCTAGAGGTTGGTGTGGTTTGCCTGGTTTGGGCTGGCTATATATTGGTTTGGCTGGTTTGGGCTGACCAGAGGTTGGTTTGGCTGGTTTGTGTTGGCCATAGTTTGGTTTGGGATGTCTGGTTTGGACTGGCTATAGGTTGGTTCGTCTGGTTTGGGCTGGCTATATGTTGGTTTGGTTCGTCTGGTTTGGGCCGGCTATAGGTTGGTTTGGCTGGTTTGGGCTGGATATAGGTTGGTTTGCCTGGTTTGGGGTGGCTAAATATTGGCTGTATAAAGTTTAACTTCCCCTTCAGGGCACAATAAACCCTAAATATAACCGTACACCCCCCCCCCCCNGATGGTTTGTCTGGTTTGGGCTGGCTATAGGTTTGGATGGTTTGTCTGGTTTGGGCTGGCTATAGGTTTGGATGGTTTGGATGGTTTGGGCTTGCTAAAGGTTTGTTTGGTTTGTCTGGTTTGGACTGGCTATAGGTGGCTCAAGGTTGAATTGGCTGGTTTGGGCGGGCTATAGGTTGGTTTGGCTGGTTTGGGCAGGCTATAGGTTGGTTTGACTGGTTTGGATTGGTTTGGGTTGGTTTGAATGGTTTACGATGAAGATAACAATAGCAACGGATTTTACAACAGTCCGTATTCTGCACCTGTTGAAATGGTGAAATGTTGAGCACTCATCAATAACTAGGGGAGGGGAGGAAGGATGACAAATGAAAGAGTATCCTGGAGTATCCTAGAGTATCCTAGAGTACCCTAGAGTATTCTAGAGTATCCTAGAGTACCCTAGAGTATTCTAGAGTATCATAGAGTATCCTAGAGTATCCTAGAGTATCCTAGAGTATCCTAGAGTATCCTAGGGTATCCTACAGTATCCTAGAGTATCCTAGGGTATCCTATAGTATCCTAGAGTATCATAGAGTATCCTACAGTATCCCAGAGTATCAGAGTATCCTAGATTATCCTAGAATATCCTAGAGTATCCTAGATTACCCTAGAGTATCCTAGCGTATCCTAGAGTATCCTAGAGTATCCTATAGTATCCTAGAGTATCCTATAGTATCCTAGAGCATCCTAAAGTATCCTTGAGTATCCTAGAGTATCATACAGTGTATCATATTCTATCTGTGTAGAAACATAATGCCTATGGAAATTCAGTATATTAATTAAGTATCTAAATATTTTAATTAAACATATTTGAAGATTCATATCTTAAAGATTTATAATTAATTTGATAAATCATCAAATATGTAAAATTTTATTTCCTTGTTCATTCATAAAACCAGTATTATCAATGCAATACAACAATTTAGATATTCAGATAATTATTATCATTATTTAAACATTTAACTTAAACTTTTTTTAAAACAAATTTAGACTTACTTGCGTAAGAAGCATCTTTGACAAACCTAAAATACAAAGGAATGCATCGATTGTCAATTAGGTGCATTTTAAAAATAGAAAACCACTGTCATAATTGTGAAACTTGCTTTGTCTTAATATTCGACAAAATAATTAGGATAAATGAAGATTATACAGAGCTGGGAACTTTTCTGTTGGATACCCTTAATCCTGATACCGTAATCTTTATATCCACTGTGAGCACATTTGATTTGCTCAAACTTCCTTGCTTCTGATTGGCTGTTCGGTTTCTACAACCGACACTCTGATTGGTTGAATTTTAGACACTTTTCTGGATATCTGCATATATATATAGTAATAAAAAGAGGAGATCAAGAATTGATCTCGATATCTACAATTCTAAAGTTTTCATCCTTGAAAATATTTTAGACCCTCCTACTGCCATTTTTCCTGTTGGTAATTAACGATATATTTTAAATTGAGATTTCTTATTATTCTTCGCTTTTGTCCCGCCATCTTTTTCCGACATTCTTCCAATTCCAGGTCCACAGAGAAATAAAACGGTTTCTGCCCTAGCTTTTGTCTAAATAGTAGTCTGTAATTCACCTGTAATATTCAGGGCTGTATCAACACAACAAACATAGTAAAATACCAATGTTAAAAATCATAAAATGTCATTAATTCCATTTTAAAATTTAAATGAAATTATTGTGCAGAGTTAATATTTAGCCCTGAATATTCCAGATGCTGGTATTAAGGATGGTTTCAGGTCAATTATATCCTTCAACATTAAAGCTGCATAATGTCATAGATAGATCGATAGATAGATAGATAGATAGATAANTATGTTATCTTCTCATCCTTTATTTTCATTCACAAAGATTAAAAACAAACTGCGTTATTGATATACTTTCTAAACATTTGCCTGCAAGAAGCTCCATCTGCCTTTAATGTTTAAAACGTATACAACACATTATGTCCTGGTAGATACGCAATACACATATATCTAAGCTGCAATATTTAGTTACAGGAATTTTCAACACGGGGTCTACTGCAAAGTGTCATAATGCCTTGGGCATTAATTTTCCGCACTTTTTTGCAGACCTAGATATGTACATTTTAAGAAAAAAAAGCACTTTTTTTAATTTTGGTTTTTGTGAATTTTTTTTGTAAATTTCTTGTTTATTTTGTATGAGAGCTTGTCATGGTGCCTCTGCTATATACTTTAATATCTCTACAACTAGGATTTCAATAGTACACAGTGGTGAGTAGGGAGGGGGTGGGGGGAGGGAGGACTTGGCGACCATCCTCTAGATTCTTTCTTCTTGAAGGTAGGGGGACCCTTACCCCCCCCCCCCC